TTTTTGAGCCAGGATGAGCCAGGAAAAGGAATTTCACAAGATAATATCATCGCTGAAGGCAAGGACCGGCCATTTTCACTTCTTTTGTAGTGGAATGTCAATGGTTAAGGCAAAGCAGGGCATTTGCACTTCTTTTGTGATTCTTCAGTTACTTCAGGGCATCTGGGCCTATACGTGCAAGTCACAGGGGATGCAATGGCTTGGCTTGGGCTCAGAGGCCTGACAATTACCTTTAGGGGTGATGTGGAGCCAGTGGCCAGGCTTCCCTTTCTTCATCTCTAAAAGGCCGGGATTAACCTGGACTATCTCAAACATCGCTCACAGCTGGGAGAGCACGAGATTTCAACCCTGACCCAGCACCTGAGATTGGCTTCAGTTTTATGTTGGTTTATACAGAGGTCTGTTTCTACTCTTCTTCAGATTGTAATCTAGGTTTGGGACACTAAATATTCCATTTAAAACATCTAGGGCTGGGTGCTGTGACTCCTGCCTGTAATCCTCACACTTTGGGAGGCTGAGGTGGGTGGATCACCTGAGGTCAGGAGTTCGAGACCAGCTTAAACTTATGTAATTATAACTCATATAACTATAAGTATCCTGACTTAGAGCTGATCCTGACCACAGTGGAGCCTCTAGGATGCAGGTGAACACACAGCCGGGGGAACTAGGCATCCCAGCAGAAGATGAGTGTGTGAGCATGAATCCCTCCCTCTCTCTACACAGGGCTGTACACTTCACAAGGCTCTGAGCCTTGCAGCCAGCCAGGGAGAAAAGCAGGGCTGCTAGCAGAATCTTTATTTCCCTAGGAAGAAAACTCTGGCTCTTAGAAGTCAAATGAATTTCCCATAGTCCTCTAAATAGGACTGTAAAACATCTGATGGCTTGAGTTCAGTATTTTTTTCACATAGCTTAGAAGGTCAGGAGAACCAGGGTCTCTTTCTGCGTAAACCCAGGAAGGACCTGAATCACCAGCATCTCCTCAAGCAAGAAGAAACCCTGGCTTGCACATGGGGTGGAAGCAGGTGAAACAAGGGACTCTCACCTGGAGCCAGCACAGAGGATCCTGGACTAGAGAAAGCCTGGCTCCCGTGGGTGTCCTGAGGCACAAATAACCCATGAATCCTAGTCAGTCCCTGGGGGCAGTTTGTTCAATTGAATTCTGAAGGAAGCTGGATGAGCTGAGCTAAACATAACTAGACCTTGTTTGAGAATGGGTCTCTACAAATTTAGCTACTTCCCCATGCTTGCTTGTAGTTGGCAAGCTGCATTAAAAATTGTCTACTGATTGCTGTAACATCCATTCTCACTTATATGTTTGTATGTAAGTTCTTTCATTTTAAGGGGAGAGCTCACTGAAGGCCACTGCCTGGGTGGTAGCAGCAGGCTGTTGGGCAGCAAAGGCTGGGGGTGGGGCCAGAGGGCTGCCATTGCACCAGCCTTGCTCTGGAGAACAACTTTTGGTTGTTGAGGAATGGTATGACAATTAGTGAGATGTCATTAGAGTCTATAAAATATAAATGGCTATGAACACTAATTGTTGCAGTAGTTAGGGACTGACTGATAGTAAGATTTGCCAGGCACAGTGGCTCATGCTCGTAATCCTAGCACTTTGGAAGGCTGAGATGGGAGGATCACTTAATTCCAGGAGTTTGAGGCCACCCTGGACAACATAGTGAGGCCCTGTCTCTACCAATATATTTTTTAAAAATTAGCCAGATGTGGTGATGTGTGCCTATAGTCCCAGCTATTTGGGAGGCTGAAGTGGGAGGATGGCTTCAGACTCTAAGGCGAAGACTGCAGTAAGCCAAAATCATACCACTGCACTCCAGCCTGGGCTACAGAGCAAGACTCTGACTCAAAAAAACAAAAACAAAAACAAAAACAAAACTAGAATTATGAAGTAACTGGTGTGCAATTATATTGAAATTGTCTGTTACTTGTCCATAGCTAGACTATAAGGTACATTCAGGTGGGGTCCATCTTTGTCTTTTCACTGATGTCTCACTGTTTATAGAGTTAGGCATTTAAAAATTATTTGTTGAATTAAATTATTGAATGCAATTGAGGATAGAAATGAGTTAACTTTAAAAAATATTATCTTCTAGGCCAGGCGCGGTGGCTCACA